TGAGTAGGATTGAAATTGGATCTGGAATAATACTTGAAACTTCCTTTAACAACAACAGTGTGTTTCTGTCTTTTAGTATTATTAACAATGTTCTGTTGCTTCTGTATTTGTATTTTATGTTTAGATTTTTTTTAATCATTATTGTATCTTCTCAGGACAACCATTCCCAGCTGGTTTTGATCTCATTTTCATCTCTAGCTGTGCATGTAGCAAACTGAGTGCAGTTGTGGAGTTCAAGCCTTTGCACATTATATGCAGAAATGTGCTTTGCATTCTCATTCACCACTTTCCACACCCCAGATGGGCTTTCAGCATAGACTTGCCACTGTGCTAGTGTTCAAGCCTCTGGTGCTGATTTTTTTTTTTTTGTTGGTCAAGAATAATGTGTCTACAATACTATATACAACCTCGCTTGCACTTATTCAAGTTATGTTTGTATAGGGATGTATTATGTGACTTTAAGAAAAAAAGAAAATGTGGAAAAAAAAGCAAACAACAAAACTTACGTACCTAACATCTAAACTACCTGTGCAGTAGAGGTTCTTCAAATTCCTTTTATAGACCCCTCTTCCTTTTCCCTGTTACAGATGATTAATCTGCCTTTCTATGCATATAGGGTTGCGGTAGTGCAATGGAATGAAGGGATTTTTTTGTCATTTATATTGTACCAGGAAGAGATGAAAAATTAACTTGCAGATGGGGAGGGTGAATAAATCCTGATCTTTATATACTCTTAAGTAAGTAAGAGTATCTGTCATGGGTATTACATACTCTATACGTTAGACCTTTTTAAATGTATGGTTACCAGGTGATAGTTAATGTGATAAATGTATGAACTATGCTTGGTGTAATTGTTTAAATACTGTAAAGGTGCAGCATATTTTTAACCTTTCTAAAGCACACCCCCACCTCCTTTATAAGAGATATTTTGAAGCTGAGCATGAAATGTGATAGAATAGATGTTGTGAAAACTGAGGTGATTATGATAGGGTTTGATATAGTGGTGAACAAGGTATATAGTCTCTCTCTTTGAGAAAGTTCTTTTATAAAGAAGGTGGATAGTAGTTCTTCCAGTTCTTTTTGTGATTTATTTTTTCCTGAACTAAGAAGTTATTAATTAAAAAAAAATATATATATATATATTCAATGAAGTTGTCTGTTTCTGTTTCTTTGTGGCATATTCTCTTACACAGAAATGGATGTATGCAACACTTGCTAATGCTTGGTCAAGTTATTGGTTATTTGAATGTTGAGATTTTACAACTAAATATCGTCCTTGAACTTGTAGTAACTGAAAATGACATGAGTTTTTGTGTCATTTCAAGAAATTCTCTCAAACTTTCTTAAAAGTGTCAGATGATATCACAAAAGATCATTAGTATCTCTCTAGGATTTATAATGAATGATACAAATAAAAAAACTATTAACTAGAGTTCATTTTTGTCAACAAGATGATTTCAAGTTGCTAGTAAATAAAAGTTTACTACTTCTAACAAAGTGGATACTATCTTAATTTCTTGCAAGACCGTAAACACTGAAGTGACAAGCATTATAACACTATTGATTTATCAACAGGCTTGAGAAAATAATTGTCATAGTGTTTTCATTTTAGAATGATCTAATTTGTATAAATTATAAGATTTCAGTTGGCTACTATTAATAGAACTTTTTATGAACAGGACTTTTCCCTTGCTGAGCAAATAGGAGGACTTGTCTGTGCCCTGTTCTGTCTAAGGTGGAAGACAGTGTGCCAGTTAAGCTTCAAATGGCAATTTAGCATCCTAGGATTTTTGAACTGCTGTCATTCCTATATTTGAAGGTGTATATCCTTTAATGTTGTAGCTAATGTACATTGCTGTTCTAAACCAGCTGTCATTTGTTCTTCAGACTAAATTTAATAGAAATTCAAGCTCAGGTTAAGTAATGTAAAAGTGTAATGTTCTATATGCCATAAAGACAAGCTGATAGACCTTAAAAGTTGTAGTGGTTTTGGCATGCCCTGCACTTACATTGGTTGATTTAAGTTTTTTATACTCCATTATGTCAACAAATGACTTGTAACTAATTTAGTTTGAGAAAGCTTCTCATTTTGGATTTATATCCTATCAAGTGATCAGTTCTGGCACAGCCTAAGGTCTTCCAAGCACTTCCTCCATAAAGAATAAAGTTAGATGGTAGTATGATTGTGAGAAAGAGAATAAAATATATGGTCTTTTGCAGCTGGAATAGCTGACAACATACTAATCTCAACAGTCGATGTTAATCTGAGAGCACTCAGTGTCTCGAGTATTTGAATCAGCAACCATGTGTGATAATGTGTTTAACTTTTGATACTATTTTCCTTTAATAGAAAAATCTTGGTATTTGACGCTCAAAGATCAATCATTGGCTGTCATTCTGCAAACAAAATACATCCATTTTGTATCATTTTCTAGTCTTGAACAGAACCGTGTAGTGCAGATGGCTTAGTTTACAGCAAGAGTTTAGGGAAATAATTTGATTCAAGTAAAAGGATTCAGGCATTTGAGAAGAGAATGCTCAATTCTAAATTGTGCTCTAAAAATCTGGTTTCTTATGGCCTCTTAGAAATTTCTGCTGGAAGAGGGCCTTATTTTGTACAGTCTGCCCTCTAAAAATAAACCAACAGTCACTGTGTTACTGGAAGTTAGGAAAAGGATCTCTTGATTTTAAAAAGAATGTGTGGGGATTTTGCATTTTTTCCACCTATTTTATCTAACGTTCTTTCTGCATGATGTTTGGGAGCTGAAATACCACTTACACTGTTCCAAGAAATAATTTCTGAAGAAAACTAATTATACTATTTCCCACAGCAATGCTTAATATGCAAAGATTGCTTCTAAATCTGCTTTTCAGGTCATCCTGCTTTTCTTCACACTTCACCATTTTGACTTTCAATGAGGTAATTTCACCCTTAAGCTCATTAGTTTCCATAGGAAATGAATTCTAAAAAATGCTAAGTGTGCCATATGAGGTTTAACATCAAAGACATTCTAGACAGACCATGAATATATGTTGAAGCTATATTTGGTCTCTGGGTATTCTTTTCAGTGCTGCTGAGTTTTCAGTTGCTTGCTTTCATTAGGTAAGTGTTGGTTTAGGATTTTTTCTCCTTGCAATCCAAATTAATCTTTAATTGTTTAGAATAAAGTCTAGTAACTGGACTATTTGTGTCAAATTTATTTTGTTATGGCTCATGTGCCCTTCTCATGTGGAAAAAAAAAAAAAAAAAACAAACAAAAAAACAACCACCCAACCCACCCAAACAGTTGTGAGTAGGATGCTTTGTAACCAATTGCTCTTAAAGAAAAGTTAGATTTCGGAAAGGAAATCTCGGTTCGTGTTTCTGCTAAGAAGTTACAAATTGATTTTTCTTGCTGAATGCTACTCTGAATCCTCAAAGTTAGGATGCATTAGCTGCATGTTAAATCTTTTGGATTGTTTTCCCATTGAGCCTCCATTCTCAACCATTTTAACTACCTGACAGTTAGAAACCTAGCACACAGGATTCTTGTCAGCTTGTATAGCTCCAAGCTTTTATTTTGAAGCTCTGTTTCAACAATAAAAAAATAGGAAATGCCCACATATTTTTGTGCTGTTCAGTCTACCTAACATGGTGGCTAGAGGGATTGCCTAGTATATTCCAAAATAATGAATTTTTTAAAAAGGTAACATTATTCAAATCCAGCTTTACTGAAAAGAATATTCCTTCTGTTTGTTAGCTCCATAGCATTTTTGGACATTTTTCCCATTCAGTTGTGACTGATATTTTCCTCTTCAGCAAGTGTTTAGCATGCTTATCCCATTTGCTGCTTGGTTACAATATGCAAAATAGCACAGTAAACTGACTACATTACCACAAAGGTAAAATTGGAGGCCAAGCCCATGCATGGGTTGTGAGGTTTTCTGTCATTAAAAAGTGGCAGCATAGGTCTCAGAAGTAACATAGCTGTCAGCAACAAAATAAATGCTATAAGTAATACTATTTTAAAACAAATGCTAGTCAGTATTTACAGCTGAAAAGATTAGGGCACTTTATTCCACCCAGAGCTTTCAGAATTTCTTAAATATGCACTATGAATTTTTAAAGAGTATGGATGGAAGCTGTTTTTGTTCTTGGGGTGGAAGACAGAATTTCAAAACAGCTCCTTTAACTGTAAGAGGAAGAAAATATTTTACAAACTCTTTGAAGCTACACAATAAAACACAAATACCTCTTTACCAGTTAATTTCAGTGATCTGCCTCAAAAAAAAAAAAAAAAAAGCAACTTCAAAAGGCAAGTCAGAAACTTAAGCTTATGTCTCCCATATGTTGTAGTCTTGGTTCTTCAGGGTGGACCATGGGTGGGGGGACAGTGTTTGTGTACCTGCAGCATGCACCAGTCAGGTGTCAGGCTTCCATGTCTGCTAGTTTCAGAAGACCTCACCTTTGAGTAGTTTGGTGTATCAGCCACAGCTGGTCTGAGAGTGAGCAGCATTGTTCAATATTGCCTGTTCTTCAAGAGGAGGGCCTCTCTCAACATCTGTATGTATATAGTCCATGCTGAACATATGATACCTGATTTAGCGTCTCATGTATAATTGTCTGTATACTGCTACAGCAGGCAATGATGGAAGAACTACATGGTGTTAAGATAAGCAGTATATGGAAGGAAATCAAGACTCCCACAGAACCCAGGCTCTGGCAGCAGTCTTTGCAGGTTTAGAAAAAACTGTTCTTTGGTTACACAGATAGGTAGTAGAGGAAGTTGGTGTGAACAACCACCTCATTATCTCGCTAGGTTACTGAGGAGAAATCAAACAGGATTTAATCCTCAGGTGTTTGCTGACTGAATGATGTAACAACTTTTGTGCTCTTTCTGTTGCAGCAACTGCTAGGGAGGTTGCTGTACTGGTGTACACCACACAATGGACTGGTGCTCTGAGGCAATGCACGTACAACTTAGTCTTTCAGCAAAATAAACAAAATAAGTGTCATTACGTTGTAGAAATGAGTAGTTAAACACATGTTTATTGAAAAAGCCACTTTTTCCAGCCCTTCAAATGTAGCTATTGTCAATAACTGAACACAAGTACTTTTCAGAAGTAGATTTTAGTACTTCAGTCTTTAGAAATGTAATAGGTAACAGAACATTGACTCTGAATTACAAAGTATATGAATTTAATGCGGTGGAAGTTATTATTAGAGCACTGAAGGCTTCTAAATATTTCTTAAATCATAAATATATTAACTCTTCCCTTTGAATCATGTAGCATTAATTTAAAAAGAACACCAACAACAACAACAAAAAACAAACCAAAAAAACAACAGCAAAAAAAACTCAACTTGGAGCCAGACTTTTGTGCTTCAAAACTATTCAACCCAGTGTGGTAATAGCAAAAGTAGAGGCTTGTTTGTTGTTTGTGTTTGAGTCAATTGCTAAAGGGCATATATGTTTTTGCTTCCACTGCTACTAGATGCAAGGCTTCTATGTCTACGTAGACATGTAAACATTCACACAAAATATAAGGCAAAACCTAAAATCTTGTGTTGCATATCTCAGACATTAACAGATGGCAAATGGAAGCTGTAGTAGCAGGTGAAATCATAAATAATGCAGTTAAATATTTCAGGAATTAGACTTAAATGCCTTCACATAGAAGGATTAAGATAACTCAGTGCACACTGTAGCTAACATAGGGGAAGACTTATACAGAAGATTTCTTTCTGACACCTGTTCTATGATATATGATTGCTTTAAAACAGTGTGCCATGTCAGATGAAAAATATAGATTTACAGGGAACTTCTTTCATTTAAGAAAGCAAAAAAATTCTCAGTTGTGGGCTGAACATGCAGGAGTCTCCTGTGAAGATAGGAAAATATCACCAGGAGGCAATTAAAATACTGATGGGATTATTAAAGGCAATAGGAAGGATTCCTTTTGGTTCAGTGTTCCATTGAATGCCCTGGATGTGTAATCTGGGAGGTACAGCCACTTAGTAGTTCATTTCTAAGGAAAGTGAGCACTCAAAGTATGCCCCACATAATTTTGTCTTTTAAGTCTTGCCTGCTGAAGGAAGGGAAATAGTTCTCTAGTCAATGTGCGTTACCAGCAATAAATAGCTGGTGGAAATAGGATCAGAGCAGCTGCAAATATCCAAGCGTTGGATGCTGAAGACTATTCCTAGTATTTCAGTGTTTTTGTACACATGCTCCTGTTGCCATGAGGAATCACTTCAAGATGTGGTGGACTGAGGTGTTTTAAGCCTGTGTAGATCTAACAAAGATAAAGCTACATCAGACTTTCATAGAACTAGCATCCAGTATTAGGTTGCTCAGCTTGTCTGTACTCTTCTTTAAAGAGTCAGGATATGAGATAATTATGGTCTTTAATATTAGAGATGTTAATGCTCGGTAAACTTTGTGCTAGAGTGCGGAAGATATGAAATGCTTAAAATTAAGTTTACAAAACTGTATGCAAACACGCATGATTGAATTCTTACCCTTGGCTTGGCAAGGCTTGGATTGTACAGGCATAGCTATAAACAGAATTTAACTCATAGCTCCCAACAGAAATATTCAAGTGATACCACAGTAACAGAGGACTGATTTACATTTCAGATATAAACCATGATGTAACTGTCTCAGATGACTTTCATTTCTCATTCCAGAAAAGGTTTTCTGCAGTCTGAAGTACCTTTTTTGAGGATGCTTTCTTGTACAAACCGTATCAAAATTTCATGCAGAAGAAGAGAGGTGAGGTTCGTGAGCGTAAGGGAAGATGGTGTTTGTGCTGTGCTGTGGTATGTATGTATCCTTGTAATCTCAATCCCAATGGGTGGAAAGCAAAGGCCGCTCTTAACAAAGTTGCACCCATCTATGACTGCCACGCTCACCTACTTGGCAGAGCTTCCACTGTGAGCATGTCCCTGTTGCCTCTGTTTTTGTGAGCTGATGTTTCAATATTTCTGAGGGCATCACTGGACTGAAGTTTTGCATAATGTAGCAGCAGCTAGGGTATCACAGTTCTGTGAGGTCTCAGTAGTATTGGCATCTACAGCTGATGAGCTCTGCTGGTCCCTGGAAGAGCTAGAGGCCTTCACATGACCTTTGTATAAACTAGGAGATTTTGCCCAAAGAGGAAGATTTGACATGAAGCTGGCAGAACTCTTCCCCTCAACTGTCAGAACCACCGGCTGTTTATCTGCCACAGCTGGAGCATACACAGCATTTTGCTCTGAGAGATGATCTCCACATTGACTAAGATGTTCTGCTAGGACCAGAGGCTGCTGATCATCGCCTTCTTCAGAAATAACAAAAACCGGTTTGTTTTTATCTGTTTCTACCACAAGCTCTTTTGTTTTCGAACAATTGACCAAGTTGATTTTCAGTGGGTTGGAGCTCTCTAGAAGATTTTGGGGGCTTTGGCTGTTAACTGGAGATGCTCCCCCTAGATGTCTTGAGGGATCCAAGGACCTCACATGTTTGCTGTCAGGGGAACTGGCTAAAAATCCAAAATAAGGGTTCCCAAACCTAGATTTCTTCAAATTGCAGGAGCTTAACTTCCGCTGCCTTTGTGCAGACAGAGTGAGGGGGTATGAGGCGTTACTGGCAGATGAATCAGAGTAAACAGTCTCAGATGCTCCCTCTATCTCAGTAGCTGAGATCACCTTTCTGGTTGGGACACCTTGGGATCTTGCAGCTGTAGGAACACCCTGCACAAAGTAATAATAAATTAGTAGACATGCCATGAAAATCAGCTTTCTTAAGAAAGTTTGATCCCAAGAGAACTACAAGTTAAAATTCCTGGTTATGTTAGAGATGAGATGCATTCTTTAGCAAAAGCCTGTGGTGTTACCTTAAAAAGAAGAAACATCCTCTATTAGCTTTGTAATAAGCTGTTGGTTTGATGACTACAGTCAGTGAGACCTAGATATCCCTCTCATACCTACGGATTTCTCACAGTGCAATAGTAATAATTCAGTTAAATTTAAGGCATAACCAGGGGAAAAAAGGTACATGTCAGAACATTCAATGAGATAATCTAGCCTGAAGGCATTTTTAAATGTTTTTCTGGACTGGGAATCATTTCTTAAGCAGGTGCTAACTTATGGGAAATACAGCTTCTTAACACTACAGGAAAGCCTGAATACATTACAATATAGTTAAGCAAAAGAGTTTCCCATACACCAAGCAAGAAGGACTGAAATGTGGATGGTATTGCAGGTTGGAGAGGCAAAGCAGTAGTCCAAGGGGAAAATATGTCCCATCAGCAAGTAGATGGGGGTACTGGGGCACAGACCTCATCCACTATGTCCTCCCCTCCTTGCAAGACTTACACTGCTGTCAACCAGCTTTGTGAAGGGACTGTTGGTGGTCCAGCTACACCATTTTTTCTGTAGCTGTGGTATTGGGGCCAGGAAATCATGGAAAGTGCGGGCACTCCACGTGCGTTGTCTGGGACAGTGATTTTCCAACTGGGTGTTCCCCTTCTCAACAGCATCTGCTCCTGCAGCTGTGTGATTAGAAGTCAGCCAGTCTGATACAGAGGCTGGGCTTGTGACACTTCTTTTTAGGTTTTTGTCCTGAAAAGAGTAAATAAAAATCGTTTACAGCATCTTTCAGCAAAAAATACGCTGTTAATGCAAGAGACTAATTTCTTCAGTGGTTCTCAGGACAAGACACAGGAATGAAACTTCTCATTGCTCTTCCAGCATGCTACCTGAAGTTCACTGGCTTCCCTGGATGAAAGTTTTACTTTACTTCCCCTGTTTCAGGTTTAACACTGAATTGAAAAATTTCAATTACGTAAGAAATAAAGTCCTAACACTCTCACTAACCAAATACATCAAATATCTACAGATTTATTTTACTGGAGATATCTGACAGATCAGAGTGGTAAACTTCAACTGTGTAAAACATAATTATTCCACTCTGCTTGGCTCTTGGAATACTCCAGATGTGTCTGTCTGGAGAAACAAAACTTCAAGGAGGATTGGGCCCACTGAAAGAAATCCAGAAGCAAGCAACAAGAGAATCAGAAGTCTCAAAAATGCATGATTCAAGAGAGAAAACTGAAGTGGTGCTCTTTATCCTATGTTAGAGAAGAACTAAGAAAGTAAAAATAATTAAAACCAAAAAGGGAATAATCTGTTCTCAGTGTCTGTGGTGAATAGAACAAGAAGCACGAGACCCAGACTGCAGCCAAGGACATTTTCATTTCACATAAGACATGCTTTTCAGGTGGAAAAGATGCTTTAGCAGTAGAACAAGACAGCCAGACAGGAGTAAAATTGGCATCGTCAGAAGGTGAGAGCACATTAAACCATTGTCACCAGCTCTGTGTATAAGCAGAATTGATCTGACATGGGAATGAACTATGACTGACATGGGAATGAAAGACATGGGAATTCTAAAGATCTCTTTCATACTTAATTTATATGTTCTGATGTTGCATTTAAAATCACAAATTTTGTCCTTCATATTTATCTGGGTTTAGAGCCAGAAAAGTTAAAGAATCTCTGACTGTCCTATGAATCTTCTTTCATTCTTACTAATACTTCACCTGTTATTTATATAAGCCTCCTGTTCCACAACTATATACGTACGTTTAATTTTCAGCTGTGCAAATATGGTTGTCATGAGAAGAATGCAAAATCCACATTCCCAAAGTTTACATAGTCCTTAAAGAAGGTCCGAAATAAATCCCACAGTGTCCTGGATTTAACAGTCCCGAGAAACCAGAAATGTGTCATTTGTTATTTCTGAGAAACTGAATCTCTCAAGTTTCTGCAAATCAAAGGAACTTTTCAGTTAAAATATCATATTGGAAATTGATGGGCAGAGAGGCAAGAAATTAGCTACTACAACAGAAAATAAAAATCTCAGTAGGAAGCTGGGAAAGGTTTCAGGCTCTGGTTAAGTTTTTTTCAATATTAAGCTCTTAGACTAAGATTTCAATAAAATGACAATCTTCATTTATAAATTTATGAGCCAGCTGTCTTCTCCTCAGAAGCCTCTTCAGGCTGTTTTAGGATTTATTATTCTAATATTATTATAAGTACCTCCAAACTGGTGTAAAAGCTAGCCACTGGTTTTGAGATAGTTGTACTGGAAGTAACTACAAAGATGAATAATGTATTTTCTAGATTTTTTAAGATGTTTTAGCAAAAAATTTTTCTTAAACCTCCATGATAATACTTTTTACTCAAACCTTTGCATCTGAAACTTGTAATGTCTGAATAGAAGACAAGGGTCATAGTTATAAGTTAGCCAAAGGCTGAATGGTGACTTAAACCAAATGGAACTTAGAAAGCCATGACCCTTCTGCAGGACACCTCAGAAGCCATCTGAAAGACATCCTGCCTTCTCTTTCCTCACACTAGTCCATGTTTGCTCCCCCAGCTCTTGCCTCCTGACGGGGGATTGATTTCTTCAAATGTGAAGCTAAAAAGCAAAAGCCATTTTATTACTGGCTCCTGCCCAGCAGAACTGAGACTCATACTTACTGGAGGGGCACAAGGCCAAGTGGACAGCCACAATTTCTTAGTAAAAAGATCCAGATAATTTTTTTAATGAAAGCTCCTTATAGCTTGCTTTGTCTAGTCAAGCATTTTGGATGAGGTGAGTCTGATGGTGTTATTTACTGTACTGTAAAGGCTCGGGATTTCACATGTCTTTTCACATGATGATAACTTCTTAGTTCCTGCCAAGGAAGTGGGTGCACTCCAGTGGATAACTCATCCTACTTGCCTAGTGCTGGTCCACAAAAGCCATGCACCATACCCTCTGTGGGGCTCAGAGGCTAAAGTCAGGAGCTGGCTGGCCAGCTGCATTTTACACCCTAAAAATACATATTTAGAAATTAAACTGTAAACATGTTTATTTCTAACATCCAGTAACCCTGAGTAACTCGAGTGGCCTGAAGAGATCCCATTCGAGTACAGGTTTGTAATTAGCCTGCTGTGCGTAATTTCCACCTCCCCTTGCAGAGAATAGTCTTCAGCTGTGGGGAAAGGCCCCATTCTTTTAAAGAGGCCCTTTCACCCCTCCTGGCTAGTTTTTCTGCTCCTTAAGGGATTTAGTTGAGAGCATTGACTCACATGTGTGCAGTACAGACATCACTGAGAAGGAGATGCATCCTGAGTTAATCATGTGGTAAATCACTTTAATTCTTTGGGTTGCCTTCACTTAGAACTGTTTTAACATGAAGTATTTTATATATATACATATATATGTATATATCTTATCTGATAGGTTTCTTGCAGAAGAGATGAAAGAATAGAAATGTTTTTCTTTAAGTGTATTTGTTCATTCTGACTAGACTGGGGAAAAGAGGAAGGAAAAGGGGTTTCCCTCCTGTCTAGAAGCTGTATTTGTATGTGACTGCCACCAGGTGAAGCTCTCTCTACTGGAAAGAAGGACCAAGGAGTGCAGGTGTTCAAGGATGCCCAGTTTGGGCACCAAAACAGCTCCCAGCGCCTTGCTCCACAAAAGGTAGTGTATTTGGGTAAGGGAAGGCACCAGAGCTGTTTTCTCTTCTTTCCCTCTTTCTGTTAATCAGTGTGGCTGACTGGAGGAGAAGCTTGGCACATGTCTTACGCTAGCAGAGGAAAATCCTGACCAGCCTGGCCTCCTGGCTATTTTTCTAATCAAGTGGAGGGATACAGAAAGCTTTTGTTTTGTAAACTGTGGCAGAAATATTACACAGGCTGTCCTGGGGCATGTGAGTTCCTTGTGCTGGTTGTTTCTTCTCTTGTGGGGAAAAAAGATAGAGGGTATTGAAGAGGAGAGTATTGACCTGGGAAAGGCTTTAATACAGATTTGTAATGGATGGGATCTGTCAGGCACTATGCTTAAAGTTGAGGAGGTGGCAGCCACACCTGAGACTTATGAGCTATCATCTGTTTCTAATCAAATAATTGACCGGGAGTGCAGGGGAAAGAGCTAAAAAGAAGAGAACTTACTGAACTGATTCAGGTTTCTGTGTGTGTATTTGAAAGGACCCCAGTGCTTTCACTAGAAGTGCTTAATTTTTTGGAGCGTACATTGTTAACTTTCACATCAGCCTGATGAGACAGTTAAATAGCTTTCTGACAAGCTGAGGAGCTGAGTAACTTCTCTGACCACTTAGTAGCAGCGGGCAGGAGCAGGTCTGACTCTCAGGTCCTTCAGTTGCTACAAATGATTTTTTTAATGGAATATCATCTTTGCCAATTAACATATTTCTGAGGGTAATCCTTCTGGCAAGTCTGTACATTATCACCAATCATATCCAAGGCAGATTTCTGCACTTGCTCTTATCAAAGCTGGGAAGATACTGGCTCAGGAAATCACAGTCCACATCATTTGATGGCAGCTCAGCCCAAGGGTTAGGAGAACTGCCTGGTTCAGTCACTATCTTTCTTGCAAAGTGGGCAGTAAGCATAAATGGAGAGATATGACAAGTTCTGACCAAGAGGGACATCCCATGGCTTGCTAGAGATGACAAAAAGCATTCCTACCTGTATTTTGTAGGTGGTAAAGCTCAGCCCACTGGCCCCAGGTCCAGCAGAAATAATAAACACTTCATCACTCCCAGTCTCAGTGGTCACTGCGGATATGGAGGAGGGCACATCTGGGTCAGTGTCCTGAGGAGACTGTTCTGTGCTGCCTCTGCAGGAAGTGACTGAGTAAAGAAGAAAATCAATAAAGACTGCTTGTGAGAGTCCGAAACATCTGTTCCCAACTCCTCCATGACAAACCCTCCTCCTTCTCTCCCCAGACAATCTAGAACAGGCTTTGGCTGTCTGTCACACCAGCCAGAACAAAATTCAAGCCAAGCGTTTGCTCTCATGAAACTGAAAGCTTTTAAAAACAAAAGGGAAGGGAAGGGGAGGGGAGGAACACCCTTAGGTCTGCTTTCTAATAAAGACAGACCCAAACTGAAATCCCTCATACTAAACACACAAGGTTGTGCTGCAGATCAGAATTTTGCAGATTTGCTCAACTAATTTTTTATTTGTATTTACTCATCTCCGTTAATATTGGGAGCTGTGCTTTTGATAAAACCCTAGCAATGCTGCTCCTACAGGCAGCATGTGCTCTAGGGACTGCCACATAGGGGTGTGTGTGTGCATGTGTCCCCAAAGCCTGTCCATCTGGTCTAGGCCAGGAGAGCTCTGGCCACAACCTCCTTGATGACTTTTCCAAAGAAGGAAATGGGAAACTGTCATAGCTGGGAGAACAGAAATGGCTTTTTAGGAAGATCTGCTTGTGAGAGCTGTGTGTAATGGCTGATGGTTTAGTGGGAAAACAATGGTGTGTAACAACACAACATGAAGTAGCTCCCTGTTGGCCTTCACCAACCAGAAGGGGCATCGATACAATTCATGTGTTGTGACTCAAAATTGCGGCAAGTGACATCATCTGCAGCTCAGCTGAGGTTCTCTTGATCTTGAAACATAAGCATCCTGTAAAGCAGTCTCATCCATAAAGCTCTTCAGAAAAAGTTAGCTCCAGGGGTCAAAGCTGTCCAAAGCCAATGTAAGCATTTTAAAACTCATCCTTTCCAGACAATGTTAGACACAGGGCAGGTGAAACTCTTCCACAATTTATGGATCTCTCTAAGTTGTTTGTAGCAGCCTGAACCTGACACATTTGCTCTGCTAACCCAGTGTCTCTGCAATGCCATGTGCTATGACAGCTTTTGTTGGCAGTGTCCTGGAGCTGTACTTGTGTGTGCTCCTTGCCAGGGGAATTACCCTACCATCAAGGCGGGAGAGAAGCAAGGAATAGTTCCCACAACAAAGGCTTTCTACTGTGAAGTGGCTCTCCAGCTGTGCATGGGTGAGACAACAAGGAGGACTGCAAGGAAGAAACAATCTGATTAACTGGCCGGGGGCTACGGGGTGCCCTGACCTGCTCCGGCCGCTGTCCCACGCTTACCCGCCTGCTCCCGGCTGACAGAGTGGTTGTTGTTTTCATTCTCCCGACTTGGCACCACCAGCTGGAGCTCATTGATATCAACAGCGGAGTTCTGGATCCCGTTCTACAACTCAGAACATGCCCCAGTAAACATCATCAGATAAACAGTGCAACAGCCAATATGAAAGAGAGAAACAGAAATTGCTGAAGCCATTAGCACTAACCTCCTGGTCACTGCATGCGTTGGATGAGCTCCTTTTGGGGCACGTTCTCTGCCTGAAAAGGAGAGACAGCAACAGCAACAACAACCCCACAAGTGAGTTAAAAATCCACAGAAGGGAAGGTCTCAGCTGTGTTCATCCTGCGAGTGGGACCCAGCAGGTTATGAGCTCTCCTGCCTACAGGAGCATCCAGAATACTTGCCAAGACTCAGGGCAACAAGGCCTGTAGGCCAGAGGAGAAAATGATATGCTCATGTAGTGGAAAGTCAGCTAAAGAAGAGAAGGACCTGTCATCTTCTTGTCATGATCACTACAAAAGCAGGAACAGAATTCAGATCTCTGCCAAGTCCCACCAGGCTCCCACCCCTCCGGCTGTGCTTTCACGTCAGTAGACTGAAATCCTGCCTTTAGTCTGGGCAGTGACATCGTTCTCATCCTGTTAGAATATTTCATCTGCATAGTCAATATTGCATGCTGGGTTATATTTAGCAAGCAGAGAGCATCAGATGTTGTTCATTTGTGTGAACATTTTATTAAAAGACAGCGCTATGGCAGATGATTACTGGGTAAACATGCCTCTTGGCTAAAGGGAGAAAAAAGCACTATTTTTTCACATTTTTACTAAAACTGAGCTTATGAAACAACTAGTGTTATTTACTTTTGGATGAATAAGACTTAAAGATGTCACAAAGAAAGGCTGGCAGTAATGAATGTGATAATGACTGAAGGAAGTGTATTTTATCTTTGTGCACAGCAGTTCTCCACGGGACAGTGCAAAGACACATGGGAGCACTAAGGCACTGACCAGATAGGATGTGACCTGGGTTTCCCTACTATCTTTGCTGTTGGCTGGCATTTTTCCTCATCTTATTGGAGGGGTTGGTTTGTTCTAAGGCACTTATTCTGCTCCATGCAAGTTTGGGGTTTTTTTGTTAGTGATGTGTTGAAGCTAAGATTTCAAGTTTTCAGTCACCATTTCATCACTGTTTTTAAGAATGGGGGCTCAGACACCACCTGATGAGGCCCCCAGGAGCCGGCGTCTGCTCTGTCTCAGGCATGGTGGGTTTCATTCCTTCACTGTATCATTGGATCTCTTAAAAAATGCTTATTGACTGGCAAGTGAATTGAGGGAGAAAAAAAAACATGATGTCCCCTCAGCACTATTCTTACTGAATACAGAGAAGACTACAGAAAAATTGGAGAGCAAATTGGCACTTGATAATTTAATCCAGAAAAGGCCTGGACAAATAGCTGTTACTCCAGGAGTCACAATGGCATTGGCCACCACTTGGGCTTATTGGGAGAACTCAGGGCTGAAGCAGGGAATGCTCTTCCTTAATGCACTGATTCAGGAAGGGGGAACAGGGAAAGGCTTCCTAGTAGGAGTGGTGTTGTCTTATCAAGCAAGATCAAACCAAGTAGGAAGTACTGCAGAGCGGAAAATGTGTATGTAAATATTCCCCCCACACTCACACCAGAAATTCTTATTGGGCACTAGAACCATTTCAGCAGGAGTGACCTGGCAAAACCCCAAATAATGAATTAGTGTAATGGCCAAGGCATTCAGGTAGATGGTGGGAGAACTATGTGTAGTTCCAAGTTTTCTCCACATTGTGTTTATTTCTTTAATCTCTTCCCCTTCTCTTAGATCCTGCCTGACAAAACCTATGACAAAAATGTAATCAAATCTGATATATTCCTATAAAATATTCTTGTTTCAAATAACTGGCATGTTACAAGCAAATTTGTTAAAATATTCCCGCCCAGGGATTAAAGAACACAAAGGAAATGTTCTCCTCTAAGAAAACATAACTTAGCACATATTTCTTCCATGCTGAACACCAGGCAACCCAGATTTTGTAGTTATCTGGATGGTCTCACTTTTGGGTTTGTTATTCGAACTTTTAGCATGACTTAACAAACAAAATGTTCAAGTTCTCAGAAACACAAATAAAAATGTGTTCCTCAGATTCTTGTATACAGCTGCCTATTTATAAAATATTCATACTCTCTGGGACAAAGATGAAAAGATGAAGTATCCATTTTAAAAGTCTCAGTAACTGACAGCTATGATAAACTATGGATAGACAAGGCAAGTTCTGCATTAAGAAACTGAAATAACTTACATGCATTTGGCACCTTTCCTCACCATTCTTTATAAATGTTGTGTTCTGCAATATTTAGCAGGCACTGTAACTACCTTGAAATCCACACTGCAGTTTGGCAGCATGAAAGAGAGAGTAAGGTGCCCCCAGCAAAGAGGCCTTCTGTGTGAGTATGGTAGAATAAGTGGGAACAAGAGAAGGAAGAGTCCTGTTCTTCCCAAAATTTAGATTATGATTGAAAAATGATAACTGGCTGAAATGTCCCCATTTTAACATTTTCTTCCCTCATCACACTTTGGGCATTGAGCGTCTGATTTCCACTGAACAATTTGTGTTACTCTTAAAAAACAGTACACATAAAGGGTAAGAGTTTCTAGATTCGGCCAACAATTTGGGTGGAAACTTGAAATTTTTTCTTTTTCTTCTATTCAGAGCTGTTGACACAGTGCCTGGAGATATGCAGTAGTTTGCAGGACTGGCAATCTTAGTCCTGCTTTAGCTCATTCTCCAGTTAGACTACCTCTACCTTACCACCAAGGAGACCAGCAATTTAGATCAGTGCACAGCTCACGGATATAAAACAGCCAATGTGCAAATACACCAGTTTCTGTCATTTAAAAGAAGTCATAATTTTTTTATAAAGAAGATGCTTCAAAGTCTGTTGGAATCTCTGTGAAGATTGTCCTCTTCTTCCCATCAGGCAGCTCCAGCTAAGTCTAGCTGTCTTAGGTCTCTAACTAAACCAGCCTGATGTGTAGAGGAACAGAAATGGAGGACGTAGCTACAACAGTCAGGGAGTGGTTTCTGGGCTGTGCCTAACACAAGGATAGCAGAGGAAAGGTCTGGTTTCAGCCCAGAAGTGACAAGGATTCTCAAGGAGACCATTATATGACAAAGTTTCACCCCCATGTGACAGTCAGGCTGCAGGCAGTGACTGGCAGGGCAGCTTGCATGAAGAGAGGTGGCAGCACATGATGATTTGATGAAATATCTGTACACGTAGGGGGTTGTAATTGGAAACAGGTCATTGGCAGGCTATACAGATGTAAAATGCAGTTGCAGTCCATGGGTTGCAACCATCGAGCAAAAGTCTGACTGCACTGGACAGGATTAAAATTAAGGAAGGTGGACATGTCTGCTGTTCTTGGGGCTTGGGAAAGAAAATAAAAAATACCCCATTACTCGAGCCAGGCCTCATGGCCAAAAGTAATTAGAATTATTGGCCAACTAACAACTGAAGCTTTCATTCCCTCCCCAAACAGCAAACAAAAGCTGCAGTGTGGCAGAGACTTGGAGTTTCCCCAGAGAGCTTTGCCCTGGCTCAGTGTAATGAGCCCGAACAGACACTGCTGACGACTTGGTGCATTGGAGTGGCAGTAGGTGCCAAGCCCATCCCGGGCCATTTCTACTCCTGGCAAGGCAGAATCTGCTACTTTTAGCTGAGCAAGAGCAGCAGATAGCTGTATTTTTTTCCCCATTTCTAAACCCGGTACTAGAGGAACAAGTAAAGTACAAAGAGAAAATATAGTGGAAGGCATGTTTATGAGGCCAAGAGCTTGAAGGTTACTATTAGCATCCTTTGCAATGGCATGCTCCAGCCAGGACAAGTATTACCATGCCCCAGAGAGCTGGTACCATTCCTGAGCGTGATGCGTTGTTAAGGCATCTTCATTTCTCCCCTCAGCCCACCCCTTGCCACCCTGACATTTTCTGCAGTGAGGACAGGCTGTGGCTAATGAGCATTTGACACCTGAATTCAAGTGCCTATTTAGGTCAAGAAGCATAAAGTAGAGCTTGGTGGGCTCAAACTAGAAGAAGTTTAGATGTGCCTAATAGCCTCTGCAGTCTTATTCTGAGCTGCATGAAAAACCCACAGAAGGGAAGTGTAGGCGAGCTCCAACCAGCGCCAGCAGTTCTGGCCCCAGAGACCAATATCCTCGAAACAGCCCAGTAAAGAGGGAAAAAAAGACTGTTCCAGTACAATACAAGAGAGGTTACTCAGCAGAGGTCATGGCATCACTTCTACATGTGTTAGATCTCACTTAAACACTTTAAGTCTGACAAGAAATAAAGTATTGTAATCAAGGCCTCCCTGGAATAGCATGTAGGGAATATAGGCAGCTGGGATAGTAAATGGCCTTTCAAGAGGCTAAAGGACATGGGATAGTCTCTATTTATATACAGTCAATAGATAACAGGTATATCTTCATTTAAAAAAAGTGAAAGGCATAAATGACAGTGTTTAAAAGAAGTGAGTCTAATTCTGCTCCTGTGCCATAGGACCCCTGGTTGGATGTATTTGCAGTGACCAGAACATACAAATATTTGTGTGAGGGGGGAAAATGCATTCAGTTTTTTCTCTGTTGGTCAGCAAGAGCAGAATATTACTTTATTTTGTAAATTTCCACAAGAAAAAGGCCAAATTATGCATGTGAGCAGCATGGCCTGACTTTCTAAACAGGCTACACAGGGTAAACGTCAGCCAGTGAAATCTTAGATTGCCAGTGTACTTTTTGGTTTGAATAATACTCTGCTTCATGGATAGTTACAGTGAAATTAAATAGGGGTAACGGAGCAAAAACAGCCTACTCAACACGTGTATCAGCACAGACTGCTGCCATCGTGAAGGGAGCATGTTTCTGCCTCTTTTGAAGATTGGCAAGGGTATAAAAATAAAGTATTTGGTATCTGGAAGACATTTTCCACCAGACGTTTTCCTTTAGAGCTAGCAAAAAATTGTGGTCTAAATTAGTGTTCTGCGAGCTCTTTAAAAGGGAAAAAGGTCAGTTAGATGTAACACATGCAAGTTTAACTCTTACAACTATGAACAGCTCAGGCCCTGAAAGCAGGAATTTCTAGAATCAGCAAGAGAGATTATATTTAAGCTTCACCACCTTGCCCACGTTCTCTTATACTCAGTATGATATTTTGTATTTATTCAGCAAAAGCTAGAAATGCAGCCTCCAAAGGGACAAGGAAAACAAAGTTCCTCTATCAAACTAACCTCAGTGACTAGAAATGGCTGGGGAATCCTGAAAGTTTTTGGGTTGGAGGATGCACAATAGATGAGTCAGGAGATGAGGGAAGAAAGAAGACAGACGAGTTACATGCTGCCACTGGGAAATTAATGTTATTCCTAACACTCAGTCACCACAGTGGAGCCCAGCAAGGGACAGTATTTGTTTCAGTTTACCTGATGTTTCCATTGAGGTCAAAACATTTGAAAAATACTATGTTTTGACAAAAACCTAGGGAGCTTGGGCTCTGTTGAATTTGTTGGAAGGAGAAAAAAAATATTAGTGTTCCTACAAAAATGTTTCCACTAGGGAGTTAGAAAAATGCAAACATATGCTGAGGGGTGGAGAAGCTTTCTACTGATAGATATAGAGAAAATAAATAGATTAAATAAAAACAGTTGACTGGAGAGATAAGCTTTTGTCACTGACTGGTTTGAGCCATTTAACTAGTTAGCACCAGGACCTTAAAATCAGCAATCCAGCCTGACCATCAGCTCACTTGACCATGTCATTTCAGATCACATTTGGGGACAATCACAGGTACTGCAACATGGCTCTCAGCTCTTCCCTCACAGTCAAAGGGATGTGTAGGTGACTGCTTAACGCATAAGGTGTGTTGGAATTAAAATGTCTGCACAGTCTCTTGGATAAAACATGCTGCAGGCTGGAAAATATTGTTTAATCTTAATTCTAAGTGGTAATACTCTTGTTATTATTTATTTCTCTGCAGAGCATTAGTAATGGTTAGAGCCAAATTGTGGAATTACTGTGAAAAGACACAGTAGCTGTCAGTTTAGCCTGCTCAGGAGACTCAGAAAAGGATGATCTTTCTGTTCTGCATTTGTCTGTTGGCCAGTTAGTGTCCCAAAACTGAGGTTCAAAGGCACCACTGCCACTGAAATAAAATAATGCCCAAGAAAGTCCTCGCCCTTCATGTATTTCTGCAAAATAAGGAAAATAAATTGGAGGCACAGAAGCTGTAGAAGTAGGAAAGAAACTTGAGGACCCTAGGGCAGGAGTAGTGACTGGCATTGATCTCCTCTGTATCCACACACTTTACTATATTTAAAGGACAGGAAGCATTAGCAGAGCAAAGGAAACGTAACCTTGTTTTCTGGTCTTTTTCCTGTATGGTTAATATCTCAGGCTTCAAAGGCTCAGATATGCATTATCTTACCTGCAAGCTATGCAGAGGGCAGAGAGCAAAGCAAGTGCAAAGAAGACGATCCCTGTTACAATTGCCAGCATCATCACGTTTTCCTTTCTCTCCTGCGTCACAGCATCTACAGTGTTAGGTTCAGTGATGTTCTTGTATTCGAAGAGCATTGCAAAGCCTCGGCCCCGGTCTGTGGTGGTGATCAGTTCCATGATAACTTCAACCATTTCCAGAGATGAACCAAAGATCATGGTCTTGTTTAAAGGTGAATTTGGTCCACAGAAGCGAGAAGAAAATGTGATGAGATCGGAAACATATAGTACATCATGGGGACAGACATCCACTGCTGACTGCGGGCTGGAAGAGATTTCCACAGGCAATACTGTTGTGGGAAGACTCCAGCTCTCTACCATAACTTCATCTCTCTCACTAGCAGCTAGGTGGGCAAGTACAACTTTCCCTTTCGAATCTCCTCTTTCCATGCCACTGGTATTTTGCCTCCACATTGTGGCACTACCAGACACAGGGAATGGCTGTTCTGGTTGAGCCTTGGTAATCACTTTGGGTTCCTTTATCTGCTTCGATTGGTTTTCTTCAAATGCTTGTTTGGCTTCATCTTTTTTTGAGGCAGTTCCTGGAAGTTCATCCAGGTGACTAGCAAGGTCCTTTGACTGATCTCCTGTGCTCAGATTCTGAGCCACCTTCGACATCCAGGTCTGGACAGAAGGTTTTGTAGTATGGAGAACAAAGTCCAGGTTATCCTCAAGAGAAGGCATGTCCTTATTTCCTGTTTTAGTGGAGGCAGAAAGGCCATCCCAGGGGGTTGGAGTTTCACTAGAGCTCTCAAAAATGTCGAAGTCAAAAATTTCCAAGATAAGATGCGTTCTTATGGGAATGAAAAATTGCCAAACACAGTGTGTCCCTGGGTAGTAGTTGTTTGGAAAACCTGGTGATAAAATCAGGCCTCTTTCCATTGATTCCACCACTGCACCACAGGAATAATACACCTGGGAAATAAAAGAAATAAGTTTATATCTTGCCAGAGATTATATACAAGATGCAGTCTCCTAGACCTACTGAAGATCCTACTCTTCTTTCCCTTCAGGGACTGGTATAAAATGGCCTCAAGAAAAGGGAATTTGTTAATCTTGTACAAGTCTATCTTCTAAATTCCCATTTGGAGCATTAATCTAATCTGTCTAATATGGAAAGCCACTCTTAGAGTCTATGGAACTGTATACTGAATGATCAACCTTCACAGAAATATAATCCAGATGAGTAATTCACATAATCTTCACTTTCTACTACTGATCATAATAGCATCCATTGCTACTGTTGGCTAACATACAACTTTTTGACCGCACGAATGTGTTGTTCTAAACAGCTGGTTATGCGATAAAAACCTTAAGAAGCTGAAGGAAAACTCTGTCACCGCAGCATCTTGAACTCCGTGTTATTTTCAATACAAAAACATTTTTTTAATGTAAAAAAAAACCCCTTTGCATTAATGATTACCCATGATTTATCCATCCAACTCATCTTCTGTTTCAAAGACATTCAGCCTTATTTACTTCAATAAGTAGTAAAATCTAGGTGGTTTTGATTGGGTAAATTTTCTCTTCTTCAAATGCAAAGCCTCTCAAACTAGTGATAGCAGATACCAGATCTCACTAGTAAAATAGCAATCAACATGCATTTTACATAACACAGCGATAGTCCCATGTGAAATTTTCTATTTCTTCTTCCTCCATAAATAGCCTTCAGACTGCAAAGAGGAAGGAAGTCCATAAACAGTAGCACTAAGTACCATGCTGCTTCTTCTCTAAAGGTACATGAAATTGCTTTCACACATCATATTTAAAACTACCTCCTCCCAAAGACACTCTCAAAGCCCTTTTTCAAGATTCTTTCATAAATGTGGAGAGCATGGAGCCCTGTCTATGCCTTGGACAATTGCTTTTGAAAAGGGGAAAAAATAAGTCAGAAGTACTTAAATCACAAGCCCGCTCTAGGAGCATGGGTTTACAAGCATTAATTTAAAAAGAAAGGGAATGCCTTGGGTTTGGTGTTTTTGTTTTTGTTTTTTTTTTTATTGGAAATGGTTAGTTATCTTGATCTGTTATCTATTTAAACACAAAGGAAGCTTGGCAGCAGAACAAACAAAGCTTATAAAGTCCATATAAAGCCACAAAGATCAAAATACTCCAGATTTTTTTTCACTTAGTCCCTCTCCTTGGCTCATATTAAAATGGAAAGAAAAAATATGCAATGCCAAATGTTAAAGCCCTTAAATAAAAACGAAAATCCAGACCTGTTCTGCAAGGCATAACCTTTGTCTTCCAGCAGGTGCTGTTCACATTCTGAGTGATTTCAGGGTGGATGGCAGGCTACCGGTAGAAAAGGACCAAAACAGCAACGTGGGTGGAAATTGTATTCTGTATTCAACTTAAAATCCAATCTTTGACTTTTCAAAGTGTCATTTAAATCAAAGCTTATGTTAATTATAGTGGAATAAATGACAGGTTTCTCATTTAAGGCACCTGGGCTGGACTATGTCTTGAAGTCTCAAGTGGAAAAGAAACAACGCTCATGTGCCAAATACATAATATTCTCTGTCTAATGCCTTAGGAGTCCCACAGCATGTAATACCAAAACAAACTCATAGAAATTTACTGATCTTTTCTCTAGGAGGTAAAGTTTTGGAGTTCAGTCTGAATTATCTAGTTCATGGTAAAAACCCAGGTGAAAAAAACAGAACTTTATGTCAGTTTAAGAGGCTACAGATCCTAATGTTTAGATCCATTTGCTAATTCACATCAGAATTACAGATACATTTGTTGTCACTTGAATTTTACTAGCTGTCTTCCAGTGAATATGTTCCTCTTTCCTCAAGGAGAGGATTGTTCCTACAATTAGAAAAAGGAAAGAGGGTTGTTCTGTGACTTCTTTTGTATTCCTTCCCTCTGTCCTGGAATATTGGTGCAGACTTGTCTTTGTCCCATGCTAGTCTTTTGAGCTCACTTTTAAATAAAATATTTGCATAGCAAGAAACAGTAAATAATGCCTGACTTTTCAACCAAAATATGTACCCAGTTTTGGAGCCAGAATGTGCACCAGAACTGCTGCTATTGCAGGGTGGTACTCCTGGATGTGGGAGGATTACAAATTGGCTCAAACTTCCTTAAATTAGCAATGATTGAGGGTTGAGAATATTTTGAGGAGTATGTGAACTGATCTAGTTGCCTTTTTTCAGACACTGAGAAGGCGCTTGGTGAGGCGTTCACAGCCCCACCTCTACTACCAGAAGATTTTGTTAATACCCAAAAGCAGCAGCCATCAGTTCAGTGGATCTTGCAGGATTAATCACCAAAGTGCTGAATGGGTAAGTGCAACCCCCCATAAATCCCTCACCCCCACTCTCAGGATAGGCTCGCTTTCCTGCCTTCATTTTCACTTGAATCTGTCACATTTGGAGAGAAATATCTTGCACACTCTGTGTACATCCAGTGAGTCTTGGATTCAGACTCAAATACCTCTTGGTCCCCTACAAGCCATGTAGCCACCAGCTGGCTGCATTATCTAGCTGAATCCCAACAGGTACCCTGCATCCCTAAGCCTGGGCCAGGGGATTTGTGCAACATGTGCATTGCAGAAATATGGCTGAAAGGTCATGGCAGTGGGGGAATTGCTCATTTATTATGGCTTGGGAGACCAAAAAGATTCAAGACTTGCTCTGAGACCAGGAAAAAAAACAAAACACAAGGAACAGGAAATGCAAGACAGATCCAAGGCAGGGGGGTAGGATTTCTGATTAATTTATAATCCACAACTGAATGACTGACAAAACTGTTTAGTTCATTTGAATCATCCATTATGAAGGCTGTGTTTCATCAATTAGACACAGATGTTCTCTTCTGCAGCAAGTTAGAGACTCGTGGGCTTTTGACAGAGACATGCAAAAAAATTAGCACATTTTTAATCTTTGCAAATGATATATGCCCACACCAATTAGGTCAATTATGACCAGGAAGAACCATATTACCAGTCCCATTCATCTGCTTTTCAGTAATTCCCACTCTGGTTAAGAGTCCTAAATGTTTAAAACTGAACCTCCAGCCTGCTGTGGTCAGACACATACCCTACCTACCTTCTGAGTTAGGATAACTAGGGAACAGCATTTAGTAGGTTGCAGAGAAGTAACTCAAATCTAAGCTATTTCTTCTTGGCCAGAAACACAATGGTTGGGTATTTCAGAATGTGCCAAGATGTTGCATTTCCCCTTTTCACACTACACAGCCCACTCAGATGCATAAATCTACACCCATTACCAAAAAATGCTTCATTGTCACATACTTACTTACCTCCTCCTGTGATGACATTTGGACTCTCTAGAAATGACTAGTTAATATTGGCATCAGCTTTGAGCTATTTAATTAAAATACACATATGTCAGGAGTTATAAGGCCTCTGCACCAGGAAACACAGGGCTAAGAAGTACAAGGAGGACCTTGGGCTAGTCCCTTGTAGATGATTCTGGCAGTGGTGCCCCAATGGTGGGTTGAATGCTCTGCTGCCCTCTGAAGTGGAGGTTTGTGAAAAACCCATGGGCAACGAAGTTGTAGAGATCCTGGGAGTTTTTATTAAGCCTAAAGCTATTCTGGGTTGGAACAGATGTGGCCACAAGTGACAGCAAGCCACTGTTCAGAAATTTCACTCCAGACACACCACCAGCATCTGCTTCCTGAGGAGCACCACCTCTCACAGAAAGAGCAAGCCCTTGATTTGTAGGGGTGCAGCACAAAGCCAGTATGTGATTTCTTCAAACTGGACACTATATATCAAAGAGCTCTTGAGAAGCAGGTGGCACTGACAAAAAGCAGAATTGCCATGCAGGAAAGGGGTAAAATAATTGTTTTGGCCAGATGAGAGTTTATAATAAGGCCCAACCAAGTATACAAGAAAGAGTAGCTATCATCTGTGTAATATAACCCTCAACTCTGCTTCTCCACTTGCACAACACCTACAAATGTAGCCCTGGAGCCTCTACATTATTCCAGTAAGAGCCTACAGGAGGGTCTTGCAAAAATCCATGAATGGCAAGCTGTGGCAACCTCTATCTGGGCCACTAACACCCTTCAATGATGGATACCAGCCTCTGCCTGAATCACTGGAAGCAGGCAGGGATCAGTTTCTCAAGCTTCTCCCTCCTGCCTCCAAGAGAGAAATGCTTCTTGCATGAGGTGATGCTGGGTGCCCAGAGGGAGTATGGGGAGAATGCTGTGGCACGTATGTAGCTGGTAAGAGAAGGTGATATGGCCACATTGTTTACCTTGTAAGCACGTAAGCCCTGCTGAAGAGAAGTGGAAACAAAGTGATGCAAGGTCCTGACTAGGGAAATCTTCAGCCCATTTATGCTCATAGTTTTTGCTGAAACTCAAAAGGGTGAAGTAGTGATAAATTTTCTTCATTCATGTTAATGCTGGTTACAAGGAGCTGATGTTTGCAGCATCCTGGAGGACACTGTCTTGTTTTGCATCCCAAAGACTGTTTATTTTTAAAGTATATTTATTTCAAAGAAGAGGAAGGAAGACATCTTGTCTTGATGTTTGTCATTCCTCTGTGAGCACAATCTCAGATTCTCTGGCTTGGGACCTGCCCAATGTAGTTTGTTTTCTTTTATAACATACTCACCCAAGAAATAACAAGTTATCTTCGTGCATACCCAGAGTCAGAATGAAAGCATCAGCAGAGGAAACTGGAGACACACAGCTGACCTGCTAATTTTCCAGGACATCCTCATAGGCCAAACTACACACTTAATAGAGATACGGAGTTGCAGGCTTGCAAGGAAATGATGTGCAAAGATCATAACCCACTTTGACCTCATTAATTCCTTATGCACATTTCAGCTTCTGTGCATTTCTCACATGTATTTTCCATTTCAGACAAACTTAAAGATGTCACTTCCACCTCTTTTTAGAAATGACAGAGAAGGAATAATCCACTA